GAGGTGCTGATCGGACCCGAGACCGTCATGACCATCCTGTACACGGCGAAAAAGTACGCCGTGCCAGCCCTGGAGCGAGAGTGTGTCGACTTTCTGGAGCGCAATCTCAGCCCGGACAACGCGTTCATGCTGCTAACGCAGGTCAGTGGAGTGACTGGAAGAACCGTTTTCCCGAGAGATTGCTTTTTTACCCAACATTTTGCTATTACCTATGTTTGGCGGTGGGTAGTTGAATCGTAGTGCCACATGCCAGTTTCGTTGTAATTTTCAATGAGACGTCTAGTACCTACTGTAATCTGAAGTTTGACCTACTCATGTGTTTCATATTTCGAAATATCGTTAGATAATATGACACACATCTGCGCTGGCTATCGTTAGACGCGTTTCCTAGTGTATTTTCTAGTCCGCTGACGTATTCGTCTCTGTCTCTTCATCTGTGACAGATGAGAATGCCTCTTCCCCAGCTGTTGATCTCCTTCCAATGGCTGCTGAGCTGCGTATGGCTGCATGTATTTACACACGTGTATTTGTTTGCACCAGGCGCGGCTGTTTGACGAGCCCGAGCTGGCTGCCCTCTGTCTGGACACCATAGACAAGAGCACGGCCGTGGCGCTGGTCGCCGACGGATTCGTGGATATCGACCGCGACACACTGTGCGCGGTCCTCGAGCGGAACATGCTGCGTATCCGGGAGTCGCGCCTGTTCGCCGCCGTCCTCAGGTCAGTGTTGGTTGAGCTGGGATGGACGAAACGGACTCGTGAGGGTCTGAATGTGAGATCAACGGTCAGCGCCGAATGTCGGGGTGGGCGATATGGATTCTTGGGTCTGAGTGTGGGAAGGGGCCTCTTGTGGATCTGGACAGGCTGTGGCGGGATGACGCCACGCACTTGGGGGACAGTGATGAACAACGGAGACCTATTCATTATAAAACTGCAAGTCTCACTGGCCAGGAAGTTCAGTTTGTGCTGTATTTTTTTTTGTATAATTACATTAAAAATACCAAAGCATTTCGTGGTTCTGTGGTGTCCTCACCCGTGTCCGTTTCTTGACCTGTGTCTGGGACTCTTATAGCACTGCCCTGATCGACTCTCTACCTCAGGTGGGCGGAGGCGGCGTGCCGGCGTCACGAGCTGCCACCGACGCCGGAGAACCTGCGCTCCCAGCTGGGTGACGCGCTCTACCTGGTGCGCTTCCCGCTGATGAGTGTCGAGGAGTTCGCGGCCGGCCCGGCCCAGAGTGGCGTGCTCACCGACCGCGAGGTGGTGCAGCTGTTCCTCTACTTCACAGTCAGTATTCATATTGATTATCAGCGTAGGGCGGTCCGGTCCCTAAGCTGTAGCTGTTCGTTGCCAGGCTAGCGGCCTGTCCCGTGTTGGCGTTGCCGTTCTGTTTGCTTGTGTGTAGTTGGGCGTCCACTGGTGAACAGTTGTTTTCAGTTAGCATCACCGTGCTTACGTGTCTCCTATTTTGGCTTAGGTGATTGTATTCAGCGTTGGCACCGACACTCGCGGCCATTGGTTGGACGTGCTGTACCAGTCAGGTAACACTGACCCACGCTTCCCTCCTCCCCAGGTCAACCCGAAGCCGCGCGTCTCGTTCAGCGAGACGCAGCGCTCCTGTATGATGGGCGTGGAACAGTCGGCCTGCCGGTTCAGTCAGGTGGAGGCTCGCTGGGGCTACAGCGGCACCAGCGACCGAATCATGTGAGAACCACCGCCGCAGACGTGCCCATTCCAACACGATCCGACGCTCGGCCCTTTTGATAGCCCCCTGGAACACTGACTTTCTACATGTATTTTAAACTCTATTCAGTACTAAAAGCTGAAACAGACTGTTTCCGCAGTCAGGAAATCGCATGCGAGAACCTAATTCAAATACATTGAATCACCCTGGCATCAATCGTACGCACCTCCGTGCGCCCTTCAGTTTGAGCAGTTCTTCACAGTTCATGGTATTGTGCGATGCCACTAGCGCCTCTATCACTGTCGGTGTGAGGGCGCGGCGCCACCGCTCGAGACGTGTCTCCGAGCTGACCTTTCTCTCTCCGTTCAGGTTCTCGGTCGACCGCCGTATATTCGTGGTGGGTTTCGGTATCTACGGCGCCATCCACGGTCCGAGCGAGCACGGTGTGACCATCGGACTGGTGAACGTCCGAACCGGAGAGGTGGGTGAAAACGGGAGAGGTTCAAATGGGAGAAGTCACAATACGGGAGTTCGAAGCGATTAGAACGGTAGGGTGGGTGGTTGAGAGGGGTCCCAACGGGAGAGGTCGAGACGATGAGAACGGGGCTCGAATGGCAGAGAGAGGCGTCGCGGTGGCTGGTGTAAGATGGGAGGGACTCTCAAACGGGAGAGGCGGTTGGTCGGTCGCCGCGGTACTCGATCGATACCTTCCCTCGGGTGCTGACCGATGGTTGACGGTGTTCAGTGACGTCGTGTCATGCTACTCGTCCTCAGGTGCTGGCCAGTCACGAGGTGACTGTGTTCAGTGACGGGTGTGCTTTGACGCGTCACGTTACTGTCCTCAGGTGCTGGCCAGTCACGAGGTGACCGTGTTCAGTGACGGGTGTGCTTTGACGCGTCACGTTACTGTCCTCAGGTGCTGGCCAGTCACGAGGTGACTGTTCAGTGACGGGTGTGTTGTGACGCGTCACGTTACTGTCCCTCAGGTGCTGGCCAGTCACGAGGTGACGGTGTTCAGTGACGGTTCGGAGAGCACGTTCCGCGCCATGTTCCCGGAGCCGCTGGAGGTGGAGCCGGCCGTCCAATACATCGCCTCCGTGACACTCAAGGTAAGACGGCGCCTCTGTCACACTAAAGGTAAGGCGGCGCCTGCGTCACACTGAAGGCGAGGTGGCGCCACTCGAGACCGGCATGGAGGGCGACAGACGTTGTTGCTCATCCATGTTCTTCTGATGTTCGTTGGTGATAGTCGCAGAGGTTATATTCGCATTGACTACATTCTACGTGATACTGGCAAGATCTGGAAAAGCACGCATGCTAAGGTAATGCCAATTGCAATACGAAACATGAGGCAACCACTCATATATTATTACTGTTGTTCGGCTAGTGTGTAGTTTGAACTACCTGTCGAACTAAATTAGATTAGCCCTTCAGTGGACAAGATACCTGGGCGTTCAGACAGCCTCGCTGTGAAAAAGATTCCTGTAAGCTCTGTTCCCTCGCGGCGGACTAACGCCGCGCGCGTTGCCCTCGTCCGCAGGGTCTCGACTCGTACTACGGTACCCACGGCTCCCGACTGGTACCAGTCGAGTGCGCCAGCGGCGGCGGCAAGGTGACCTTCCACTTCGAGGCGCCAATCGGTAACAACAACGGTACTTCAGTCGAGGACGGCCAGATCCCCGAGATCATATTCTATGTGTGAGTTCAGTCGCTGTATTGGCGTTCGGCTGGGGTGGGTTGGGTCTCGTGCCCAATATCTCAGTTTCCGGGACGGAGATGGTGATTGAGCTCACCGGTCTTTTTCATATCAGAATGCTGGTGTCGAATACTGCCAGGAGTAGAGAGTGACGACATATTGCGATAGGTATACTCATTGTGCAAACAAGACGATAAGTTTGTTCAGTTTATTTGTGCGGTGTACGGTGTTCGGTTTGCCTGTGGAATATTTATATATTGGCATGCTCGTTTTGAATTTCGCCTGTGCTGTGCACTGGTCCGAGAAGGAACAGTGTTCCCCACCTGATGGTGTTGCAGTGAGGCGCTGCCGGGCACCGGGCTGGGCCCGTGTGTGTGAGAGATCTGTACTCATCATGAAAGATCTGTCTGTCATATGTGCCGCCGCTTGCCTGCGTATTGTGTATTGTGTTCTCTGAGTGTGAGCGCTGCCGAATAGCGCGTTCCTACCGGTCCTCTGCTGAATTGCTGCCACGAGCCGCTCCGTGAGCAGGCGGCGGTGGCGTCCGCGTGTTCGGAAGCGTTTCGTACGGTGTGGCAACAGCAGACTTTACTGCCAGTCGGCGTCAATTTCGGCCACGGGTGCCTTATGCATGCGGCACCCGCTGGCGAAACGCGCATTGTGATATTAGGTTTGCTTCTTCAGATGGATATTCTGGAGCTTTTGAGATACAAACAGCGACATGGTTGCCAATGTAAGCAGACGTGGCGCTGTGTGTGCGAGGACTCGGCTGTTACTCGGTAAGGTGTTTTAGTGGTGTGTGCAACAACAGACAAGACATTGCCAGTCTTGGATGATTTCTTATGCTGCCGTGAATACGATACGATACGACTACCTGGATTGCTCGTGTGTGCTATAAATACATCATGTATATCGTCAGTTTTACTCAGTTTTTGTTACGGAGCGAGCGAAGCGAGCGGAGTCTCATACTGAATTAAGGGAAAATCCTGAGTATGAGCGGCCGGCCGGCCGGCCGGCCGTGGGGACGCTCTTCAAAAGCTAATATCTTAGGAACGGGACATCTGATTGACAAGCGGTCTTCTTTACTGAATGCCACTTGGACGTAAAAGTTCTGTGGTGTGATGGCCACCATGCGTTTTTGCCAACCACCGCACGTGGCGCGTGGTAAAGTTGGACATTTTTCAAGAACCCCCAAAATTGCAACCTCAATAACGGCACAACGGTTGGGCCGATTGAATTGAAACTCGGTACACAGTTAGGTCTCCATCAGATAATTCATCTGCATGTGTTAAGGTTGGGGTGCTACAGCACGTGCGCACGTGCAGGGGGCGCTCTCAGATCTCGAGAACGGCTGGGCCGATTGCGCTCAAATTTGGTACACGGCTGGGGACCAGTTAGTAGGGTGCCGTGCAAAAGTCAGTTTCGACCCCGCTTGCACGTGCGCACGTGCAGTGTGCCGCTTCCAGATCTCGAGAACGGCTAGGCCGATTGCGCTGAAATTTGGCACATCGCTAAAGACCGGTTAGTAGGGTGCAGTGCACAAGTTAGTTGGAGGTACCCCCTCGCAATTTCGCACGTGCAAGGCCCATCCTCTCGCTCGCTCCGTTGGTCGCCCAAAAGGCGTTTTACTGGTGATATCTTTTGTTAGGGGCATATTTTATGTAATTCGTAGGAAATGACTTACATAATTCGAACCAAGCAGCTATTATCCTATGCGTCATGCGAACCCTCGTGAACACTCTTCAGTCCCCAGCCGGCTCCGCTGCCGCCAGCTGCCGGTCCTGATTAGCGTTCCTACAGGTGTGCTGCCGTCATCGGGGCCTCACCGGACCGATAACTAGACCGACGGCGAGTGAGGAGCTCACATACACTGTCACCGCCGCCGCAGTCTGCACCGAACCCCTCTCACTGTCGGAGCTCAGCGGCGCCCGCCTGGACACAGCAGCGGCACGAAGACAAGAGTCGCGATGAAGGCCGAGAAATTTACCCTGCTGCGTCACTTTGACGGCATGCCGCAGCCGTCTGATTTCCAGCTGGAGTCTGAGGACCTTCCTGAGCTGAAGGAGGGCGAATTCCTCTGTGAGGCCGAGTTCCTCAGCGTTGACCCGTACATGCGGCCCTACTCGAAGGACCTCAACCCGCCAGTGACCATGATCGGATCGCAAGTGGCGCGGGTACTGGAGAGCAGGAGCGACAAGTTCCCTGTGGGCTGCCGCGTGGTCGGGGCGCTGGGATGGCGCTCCCGCACTGTCGTCAGTGAAGATATGCCGTCCGCCGTCTTTGGACTGAGGAAGCTTCCTGACCTGGGCGACCTTCCGACGTCATATGCTCTCGGCTCCTGCGGTATGCCGGGCAATACGGCCTACTTCGGCTTCCTGGAGATCTGCAAGCCAAAGGAGGGCGAGACGTTGGTGGTGACGGGCGCGGCCGGCGCCGTCGGCAGCCTGGTCGGACAGATCGCCAAGATCAAGGGCTGCCGCGTGATCGGCTTCGCGGGTACGGACGACAAGTGCGCCTGGATCCGCCAGCTCGGCTTCGACGTGGCCATCAACTACAAGACGTGCTCGGACATCGACGCTGCTCTGAAGGAGGCCGCCCCGGACGGTGTGGACTGCTACTTCGATAACGTCGGCGGAATGCTCAGCTATCAAATCCGCAAACAGATGAACCTGTTTGGTCGTATTTCTGTGTGCGGCTTTATCTCCAGCTACAACGAGAAGACTGGCGAGGAACTGACCCTGGAAGTCCCCGAGAAGCTGATTCTGTTCAAGCAGCTAAAAATGGAGGGTTTCATCGTCACCCGCTGGGACCAGGAGGAGACGTGGAACAGGGGCGTCGAACAGATGGCCTCCTGGATTAGGGAGGGCAAGATTCAGGTCCAGGAAACGGTCACGGATGGATTCCAGAACATGCCGCAGGCCTTCATCGGCATGCTGAAAGGAGAAAACACGGGGAAAGCCATGGTGAAAGCCAATGCTCAATGAAACGAATCCGTCACTCAAGAGTCTAATGAGGAATTCCGTTGACTGTGTGTGCTCGTGCATTGTGTTCTGCTTATTAAATTCGAGATCTTGCAACGAGCGATGTATCTTTTTGTTTCATTGAGTTGAGGTAGCTACACATCTCTAGCATATTGCTTCGGGCCTGACATGTGTTTACAGGGACCCATCTCGATGGAGATATGAGTACTGAGTAGGCAGTAACCCGCTCATTATCTTTATGTTGGTAGTGAAGTCAGTTCTCCTACCCTGCCGCGGGTGACTGCAGCGGCCCGCGGCGCCGACCGGTGACCGGCACTGTTTGCACGTGCACGGCACCGGTGCGCTGCTGCGTCACTTAGATCACCGGTCCAATTAGGAAAACCCATCGCTCGTCGGAGATCGGGCGGGGCGGCGGCCGATTGAAGTGGGCGGCCATCCAACGCCGGTGGCCAGCGGGCCATCTGGGATGACCGATGATCAGGGCATACTGAGGAACGGAGGCGTCTGTCATGATACGCAATACGTTTGCCTGGAGCGTTCACAGTTATGCCGCTAAATTTGCTATTATTATGCACAATGGTTGGATTTTCATGTCATGGATGCAGTGCGCTTCAAGTGACTTTAAAAGGGTTATTTGGCGTTGATTGATAGGTGGCAGCCGGCAACATGGGCAAAGTGTCGCATTTCATTATACTGACAGTGGCTAAAGTGGAGGATGCCATTGTTACTACTGGTGAATAGAATGATCAGTGAATCAATTATGCTCGGTACGCGTATATGTAGAGATGAATAAATAAAAACAATGTTAAGTGGTCTAGGAGTTAGGACAGTACAGCTCGACCCCACGTCCGACCTTCGGCGCTCGCCCGGGAACAGATGCTTATCTTAGAGACTGGCGGCAAAAAGTCGACACCTGTCACCGATTTAACCTCCGATAGAGGCGATACTGAGCGAAGGATGCGTCGGAGGGTCAGTCGTTAGGAGACCCTGCGACCGAGGAATCCACATGTGCGGCACTTTGCGACGTTCGCGTCCGACTTTTGAATCCCCAGGCCCGATGTAAAAAGAACATACCTAGGTAGTTTTTGAACTCTTATTTTCGTTTATCACTGCGGTGCGCAGTGGTTGAAGAAAACTTTATATGTATTCCAGCATGGGTGTAGTTTTCCAAAAATCATTGGGGGTGCTTAAAGGAAACAGTCCACTTTCCTGAAATCAGTATTTTGCTATTGATTTATGATTTTTTATGTTCAAAATAATCATGAAATAAAATAAAACCTTTTTGTAAAAACAATTATTTTCTATATTTTAATATAGGACGAACTATATTCTATGTAAAATAATGTTTGACGCGGAAGCTTATTACGCATTGACCAATCATATTGCGTAGCTCAAACCTACGCATACTGCATTGGCTGTAAGCAGCACGCTGATTGGCTGACGATGACGTGGCTGCATTCCTGTGCAAGGCACGCATTCCTCTACAAGGCACTCTTTTCGGAACGAGAAATGGAATATCTTCGTCTAGGGTGATCGTTGAGCCGTAAAAGCTCCTGATTTGTGCTAGTCTCAGCTCAAGCTACGAAACTGCTATTCCAGCTCAAAACCCCATGTTAAAAGTGAACTATTTCCTTTAATAGCTTTCAGAAAGGCATGCCATAGTTTTTGTAGTTTTTTTAGATGTTCTTTTTTACTGTAGTCATCAGGCATCATGCAAGAAATAATGTTAAATCGGTTCGAGGGCTTGTTTTAAAAGCGCCACTGTAAAACAATTTTGGCTCACCCAATGCATTAACCCGCACGGGGCTGGGGTCTCCAGCCGAACGCGCGGGGCTGGGGGGGTAAATTTTACCCCCCCCCCCTGTTATCTCCCGAACTAATGGTCCGATTTGGAAAATTCAAACGCCAATCGAAAGATCTCATCACGAATAACTAAAAACATGTACTTAATTTAAAGTTTGAGGTCAAGGTCAAGGTCAGGTCAAGGGTACGAATTGCAAGTTTCTACAGTATCGGCCTTGCAACGGTTGCCGAAGAATGGAGTCATGGACTGAGCCTGATTGTCCAAAACGTGTTTGGGCCTGACCTTGGCCATAAGTTTGGCAGGCCAGATTTTGTACTGGACCATTTTGAGTCAACTTTGAGAAATACATAACGTACAACGGTGGTAAAATCGTTGCTATAGGTATAACACAGTTTACCCGCTCCGGGTGTGAGGGAGGGGTGTGGGGCAATGAGTGCACTGACGTGGCGCCCTCGGAGGGCCGGTATGGGATTAAAGCTCAGCTACACTAAGGGCTTGTGTGGTGCCTTCAGTTATCGGTGGCACCCTCAGAATCACCGGCGTAGGGCCCTCAGAGCCGCCGGTAAGGGAGGCACCGCACTATGGTTGGAAACGGCCTCACGGATGGCCGGGGGTCAACGCGAAAAAATGTTTTGCCCATAACTTGTTAATGCGTAGACCGACTGCGATGAAACTTTGCATAGGTATACCAGTGTCTTTCGTGCATCATACAGTAACTCAGAAATGACGAGGTCACGTCACGTCACGCGTGTGTGACGTCATCATTGCAAGTATGTTATAAGTCGCCTATGTCTTTCGTTATGTTATCGATATCGCGAGGCATTTTGAACATGTTTTGAATACTGCTATTACTGAATGGATATTGTTGTTATGCTTTAGGGCAAGACATATCAACGTAGTGACGCACAGTGTCTTACTATTGGTCATAAACGGTCAAAAATTTGGAGAAAGAGTATTTATGATTTTTTTTTTAGATTGGGCAAAAAAGTAAGAAATAAAATGACGATCAAATGACAAAACATGCGTCAGATTAACCCGGCAGTTGCTGGGGTATTTCCCCATCCGCCGTTTGCCCGGGGGGGGGCGTTCAACGCCCCCAGCCGATAACTCGCGAACAAATAGGCGCAGCGAAGCGCACGAGGCGCGGCAAACGAAAGAAGAACGCGACGAGACGATTCACATGAATACTTTAAAGTTGAATTTCGAGGTCACAGGTCGGGTCAAGGTCAGGTCAAACACTTGAAATCGGGTTTTCAGTAGCATGGACTTTAGAACCTCGCAATCGGTGCCTCGCGTTTCGCGTTTCGATTATATCGTCATCAGTTGGTCCTAAATAAATTCAGTCATCAGTTGGTCCTAAACAATCTGTCACAACTGTCACAACCCTTCATATAAGTGCTAAAAGAGTGTCAGATCAATGTAGGGGTCAGTCAAACATAGGCCACTGGCCAGGGTCAAAGTCAGGTCAATCAGGTAAGCACATAACCCCGAAAATTAAAACTGGTACCTATTCGCAGCCCATGCATGACACATGTTTTATGGGTACTTTTGGGCGTAGAACACGATGGCGACATTCATTTTATCATACGAGTACGTAGCTGGTTGAAAAAAGATCAATTTCAGAAATGCATGCATCATGGTCGTGAAGTAGTCACGAGAAATTGCCAACATTCAGTTCAAGATTTTGGGAAATGTAGAACGATGATCAAAAACCATAGATAGCCATTTGATTTGCCATGGTATTGGCAGTGTAATGGCGTTTACAGCATGTCTGTATGTCTGCTCTGTCGGTGGATATCCATATCCATACTCCAGGATATCCATACACGTTTGCACGATATCCATACTCCAGGTGCAGCGGCGAGCAGTTACTTCTTACGAGGGGTGCGGAGTCGAAGTCAGAGTCGGAGTCAGAGTCGGAGTCGGAGCCAGAGTCGCCCAGAGTCGTGGCAACGAGCCAGGAGTCGGAGTCGGAGTCGGGGTCGGTCAGGAGCCCGCAGTGGAAGTCGGAGTCGGTCCGAATCGGAACAGCTCCATCACGACTCCGAAACACTGGCAGGGGTCCGGAGTCGGAGACAGAGTCGGCCGGAGTCATGGCAACGAGTCAGGAGTCGGAGTCGTAGTCGGAGTCGGATTTGGCTCCACCACGACTCCGCAACCCTGCTTCTTACCATCATTTATAAGGATAAGCGATTGCAAGACTGACGAGCCGACCTGGTGCTAACGAAGCGACGGGTAGGTACGCCTCGGGAGATGAAGCTTCACGGACGATTTTGCGCACAAGTGCGCAGTCTGCTTTTACGTTCCCCTTACGCAGAATTGAACAGAGACTTATTCTGCCAAAAAGCTCAATGGAGGTCGATGGAGAACTTTTTGTATGTCCAATGAAACATAAACGTAATTTTGCAAATATTGCTGTGGTGACACTGCAAACAGAATGCAATGCCGTTCCTGATTTTGAACACGCATGGGAAAAAGAGTCACTCCACTCGATAGCCAACATAACAAGGATTATTTTGATATATAATAATCCAGTTTTACAACGTCATGGAGGTACTCCACATGCTATCACCAGCGCGGTTGTTTAAACCTTTGACGGCGCACCAAAAAAGCCACTCTCAGAAACTCCCGATTCCACGTACAATAATGGAGACTAAATGCGCAACTAAATAATTTTTTCTGCCCAATTCAAAACATTTCACCAATTTCCAACAGAATGACACCCCAAATATACATATATTCCGAGATTGCCCACGGCCATCCGTGAGGCCGTTTCCAACCATAGTGCACCGGTGTGGGGCCGCTGCATGCAGGTGCCGGTGTGGGCGATCAGAGGTGCTAGTGTGATTCTCTCAGAGGCGCCGAAGAGGGTCCTTACAGGCGTTGCTCCGGGCCCTCATAGACGCTGGTGTAGAGCCGTTACAGAGGGGTGTGGGGCCTTTAGAGCTGCTGACGCGAACTGTCTACAAGCCGGCAGGGGGTCTCAGTGACCGGCAAGGGGTCTTAGGCCGGCAGAAGAAGTCCTGCGGGGTCCTAAGAGACCGGCATGGTACTGTCAGACACCGGTGGGGCCCTCAGGGTCACCGTTGTGTTGTGGGGCCCTCAAGTCATCAGTGGGTGGCCTTTAGATGCGCAGGCGTTGGGTGGGTCCTCAGAGCCGCCGATATAGGGCTTTAATAGCCACTGGTGTAGGCACTCGGAGTTGGGGGTGTGAAACCCTCAGAGACACCGGTGTGGGCCCTCATAGGCACCGATGAGGGCCCCCACAGTTGCCGTTATGGGGCCCTCAGAAAAGTAAGTGTGGGACCATCACAGGTGGGAAATGCCCCTAGAACTGTCCCCTCATAGGCCGGTAAAACCTCTCAGAGGCCAGTAACGGGCCTTTGGAGACCACCGAGGTGTCCTTAAAAGCCGCAAGAGGCCCTCAGAAGTCAGCGTGGGGCCCTTATGGAGAACATAGTGTGGCTATTTAGGGCCCATGTGGTGCTCTAACGAGCCCAACGGGGCCCTTCTGAGTAGAAATATGGCCATCGTTAACCCTCAGCGGTCAAATGGCGCCGCAGGGCCTCTAGGACCCGAGGGTCCCTTTGAACCCGATGGGGGGAGGGGGTACGTGTCCCCTTAGACCCCTAGCTATGCCACTGTTTCATATGCATCATGTCAGATATTTTAGGCTCCCCCCAACTTAAAAATCGTTCCCGGGCCCCTGATAATATCAGATGTATTAACACAAATATCATGCATCTTAATTTGTGGTGATTTATTCAATGCATATTCTCTTAGTCACTGAATTGAGAAAGCATAGTATTTGGATGATTCACTGGGCTCATTACAGTACTAGGAGATGGACATTCCGATTATTGAGGGCCTTGAGTCAGCTGGGAATGTTTTGAGGAGGCTGGGGGTGCTTTAAGAAGGCAGGGGGTGCTGAGCTCAGGATTGGGGGTGCTTGAGCACCCACAAAGAGATATAAAGTTACGCTTATGTATTCCAGTCCACTATACAAGTAATAATACTCGTAATAATACCTGTAACATACGAAAGCCTTTGTCACATGCTGGTTACATAATTCATTCATTTGTTCTGTGACCTTTCTACCGTATGCTGAATTTCTTCTTTCCTATTCTTATCGTGATACCCCTGTGTCGGGGCCCACAAATTGCGCTCGCCTGCGCCGCCTGCAGCTGTGCCTGTGCCTCCGCCTGCTTACGCTCGAGCTCCTGTTTCTCTCGCTGACGCGCCGCCTGCAGACGCGGCTCCAGCTGCCCGGCCAGCCAGCCCGAGAGCTGCGCCTGTCCGGCAGTGCCGGCGGTCGCCGCGGCCGCGGCGGCGGCGGCCTGGTGCGCCTGCCGCAGCGCCGGCTCTGCCAGCTCCCCGGCGGCGACCATCTGTTGCTGGTACTGCGTCTGGGCGCGCGCCACCGCCTGCCGCGTCAGCTCGGCGGCGGCGGCGGCCTCCTGCTGCCGGAGCGCGGCGTTCCTGGTCCGGTGGCCGGCCAGCTGCCCCTCCAGTCGGCCGCACAGCGCGCTCCGCTGCTGCTCCGCCGTCGGGCCGGCGCCGTCCCGGCCGCTGTCAAAGTGCTGCAGCGCCGCACGCACGGCAGCGGCGTGAGCCTCGTTCAGCCGAACGTCCGTGATGCTGGGACCGTCAGCGGGCAGCGCGGCGAGCATAGCCGACTCGTACGCCGCGCTGCTCGCCTCAGCGAGCGCCGCATTGTGGCTGTCGGCCTGAGCGGCCCGCAGCTGCAGCCGCTCGGAGTTGAGGCCTCTGATCCACTCCCAGTGCTCCTGGATGGCGGCGGCGAGCGGACGGATGGTCTGCGCCTCGCTGAGGTGATCCACGCCGGGACAGGACACCAGCGTCTGACGTGCCTCGCTCTCGGCCTCCCGGTGGACCTGCTGCAGCCTGGTCTCGGAGAGCGGCTCGGCGGCGGTGGCCTCCTCCAGCCGGTCTGTGTAGGAGCGCAGGGCCGCCTGGACGGCACGCCGGGCCGCCGCGGCCGCCAGGTGATCGGCGGCCGCCTCCAGCTGCGGCGGCAGGCGGGCGGCGTGCTCGGACAGCGAGCGGCACAGCTCGGCCAGCGCGGCGCCCGTCAGCGGCCGGCCGTCGATCTCGCGCACCGGCAGCCGCGCGGCGTCCAGCAGCCGCTCGGCGAACTCTCGCAGCTGCTCGGCGAACTCGGGAGCCAGCTGGGAGGCGGCGCCGCTGAACTCGGGGTCGCCGCCGGCCGCCGCCGCGCCCGGGTGCGGCAGCAGGAAACACTCGAGTTCCTTAGCGGCCAGGCCCCAGTCGGCCGCTGTATCGATGTCTGTGCCGTCGCCGCCGTCCTCGATGTCTCCTCCGGCCAGCCAGTGGCCGAGAATGTGGCGTCCGCCGTCAGCGCCGTACGGTTCCTCGGCCGGGAAGGCCCAGTCGCGCACCAGCAGCACCAGCCGCGGGGTGCGGTGCGGCGCGCCGGCGGCCGAGGCCAGCAGCCGGGCGTACTCTGCGCACAGCCGCGCCTGCTGCAGGTCGTCCGACTGCGGCTGGCGCGACACGTTCAGCACCTGCACGCCGCTCAGCAGCCCGGCCAGAGCGCGCATCACCACACTCTCGGTCGGCGTGGACACGTTGTCGAACGCGCCCTGGGAGTCGACGAGTAGCACGTGCGCCGTCCGGCCGTCGGCGAGTGTGACCGGCAGCGGGCGGGACCAGAGCTGCAGGTCGCGGGTGTGCGCCTGCCGACCGCCGCGCCACGGGAACCCGGTGAGGGGCGCGTCCTCCAGCCAGTCGCCGCCGCCGCCGGCGGACTGGGAGCGCAGGTAGCGCAGCAGCACGTTCAGCAGGAACGACTTGCCGCGTCGGAAGGCGCCGGTGATGGTGATCGGTATTACGGGCGAGTCGCGGAGCTGGTCGGAGAGCAGCACCTGCTCCAGAGTCGCCTCCTGCAGTCGCAGCTCCCCGGAGTCGGGGTCTGCGGCGAACAGCGGCATCGCCCGGTCCTCCTCCGCCGCCATTCTGTCGCTATGTTCTTGTTTCAAAATACCTCAGACGATCTCAATCGTGTTTTCACCGAGAGGCGAGATGTCTTGCTTTGTTGACCAGCACTCAAAGTGCAGTCAAACCAACTTGACCGAGTCACACTCCACTCTCGACTGACATTCGGGGGAGCGCCGTGCCGTCGCCCGCGCCTGCAGCGTCTCTGTCGAGCACTGGCCCTCGAGTCGCAGCCTGTTCCGGCGGGCGGTTATCAGCAGTTGGTGACGAGAACTGGCCGGGGTTCCCGGCGGATTCCGCGGCCAGCGTGCACTGCGTGGGCGCTGCGCGGTGACGTATGTCGGCCGGCCCGGACGAGATGATTCACTGTCGACGCGCTGGTAAACACTGCGGAGCTGGCGCGGTCGGGAACCGCGCGTGTCACCGTATATACCTACGGACGGACTCGATTAGTGATACTTCTCACCTTACCCCGAACCTTTCCAATGACCTAGAACCATATTTTAAAGGGAGATAATGAGCTTTCTTTTTTCTTAAAGGTAGTGTGCCAGCTTTCCTGGACCGTATGGAGTTAATGGCCCAGATAAGGAGAACCGGATTTTTAGAACTTATCCATACCTTCAAAACTCATGGAAACGTCTTAAATTCTTCAAATTTTGAGTACCCCAGTGCGAAATTCGCCCCGACGGGTTGTCGGTCGTACCTACTGTAGTGTTCGCTATGGCAGTTGTTTAGTGCTTTTCACACGACCTCACGTGACTCCGCCATTTTGTGTAAAATAGAGTTTACGTTCCACCTGGCCATTGTGTACAACAGATATCAGTTCGGGCTCTCTCTATCGTCTGGATAAAAATAGGCCCCGCCCATCCCAATCAGCTGCTGCATGACGAGTTGATGACGACAACCACTACTTACCAGCAACCAATCTAGGGATAGCGTACGTGACAGTAATGGTGCAGCGGTTGCAAAATATTGCATTGTTATTCAAACGGTTTTTGCTTTTTGATTGTGATTGTATTGAGATATGTGATTAGATGAGGTGTTGTTGAAGGCAGGTATTTTTTTAAATATTTTTTGACAATTTTTTGCCCCCTTGTGCTGAACCCGGGACCACCTGAAGTCTAAACCTCATTTTATATAACATGTCAATGCTGATGCTGTCCAGCTCAGAGTTTTTTTTTGGGGGGGGGGGCAAACCAAAACAATTTATCGATTCTTTCCATGCATCGTCCATAGGCGTAATGTTAAAATTATGCCGTTTGGGGGGGGCAAATGCCTATTTTGCCCCCCCTGGATCCGCCACTGACTGCTCCGATCCTGGTCATGCAACCAACGTTCATGGGTGGTGTTTCACGGCAGAGCACTGCAGTGCGCTGCGTGTGTCAGAGCATTGGGTTGCCATGGCAGTGTCAACAAAGTTCACTGTGACGCTAAGCTATATGACAGCATCCCAGAACGCTAGCACGCTGCGGTACCAGCACCAGCAGCATGCTAGCAGTATTTGAACTCAAACCTCTGTTCTTGGTACGGTTTTTCAGAACATCTCACTCTGTTCCAAACGCGATTCATCATAAACTAAGAGATCACATGCAACGTCATTTGAGTGATGCTATGGTATGCCGTAGCTACCAGTGCACACAGTGTCTGGATGGTGAAACAGGGCCATTATTAATCACATTTGCTTTGCTTTGTTTCAGCAGAAACCTGTCTGCACATGGGAGGAGTGCAACAAAAGCCCATCAAGTTCATGCATGGCAGTGGATCTCAACAGCAGAAAACCAGAAAGAACATGGATGCTTGTAGATTGCAGTTGTACACTGCTGTTATCACGTGATGTGTGTGGCTGGCATTGCTCCTGGCAAGAACCACCTGCAAGTGATGAGATGGTGCCTCAGTCGTTGAGTGTGCTGCAGTGTGAGAGGCGCCCTGATCTCTACTTTGTGATGGGTTTCCATTGGAAGTTCAACTGAGAAGTGAGAAGTGACTGTGACCATGCTCGAGCATGCCAGTGGAGCTTTACATGCTTAGGGCAGCTTTTGAACAGATGCTGACCATGGCATGTCCCATCCAGTTATCACGTGCATAGAATGGTGGGGGGAGGGCAACTCTGGTTGAGTCAGCCCTACTGCGCTGGGGGTACAGATGGCCGCTTACGTTTGGTGTGTCCTGCACTGCATTATCAAGCCCAGTCTGCTGCCACAGGCAATGGATCGGGCTGCACTATATTAAAGGCAGACTACCTTGCAAAGGAGGCTGGCATCCTCTCCCATAATGACACACCAATTGGCAATCATCGCTGCGATGATCACGAGGGTGTCCGCTTATCTAACATGGTGAGGTGGAGAGCCAGCTCAAGCTGGCCTGAGGGATGGTTTTACTTCATCTGAGGCCCCCTTTCCCCGCCTGCCAGGTCCGGTCAAACGACCGCTTCACAGTGAACGACTTGCAGTGGATGCCGTCCCACAGCGCAACGAGCGCGCCGACCAGAGGCGGCGGCCAAGAGGCGGCCGCGCTCCCCCAGTCGACGGTCCCGGTGGACGTCGGCAACGCCCACCGCGCGACCATCAGATCGGCTCGCGACCGCGCCGTCGCCGACTGACCGCATGACTGGTATCTGTTCTTGATGTGGGACCGACTGCCACCGCCGGTCGCGGAAGGGCATCGCTCATCGGCCATCGACGTTCACCAGCTTCGCGTGGGTCACTGTTCGGGCTGCCACCAATACACCGAATCGGATGGAACCCTGTCGGCGAATGCCGGCGGTGCCCCGACATCGACTGCGCGGCGGCCAGTGCATCGCGTGCCGGGAGGAGGCTGGCACCCCCGATCGGTCATTGGTCACAAACCGTGTCCCAGCTCATGACTGCATCCAGCGCAGCTCTGTGCGATGTTCTGCTGCAGTCTGCCGCGTGTGTTGAAAGAAGAATGAACACGAGAAAACCTCAAAACTTTATGCCTATTAGTATTTGACCAGTATTGGAATAAGTTTGGATTTTGAGAATTTGTGTCCCTGTGCTTGTGCCTGTGTGGAAAGGCATGCTTTACGGTGTACCATCTCAATTTGTGCGGCTGCTGACAAGCCACCTGGGTGCCAACGTATGTGCGAATCCGCGAATACGTTGTGTTTCGTCAGTCGGTATCGTTCTGAAAATATTGACTGCAATAGGCTATATAGCGTATGACGGTTCAGCCCAGCAGTAATAACTGACCATTGATTGGGCGAATTTTGTGTGGTGGTTCGCTAATACATAACCTAAAGAGTGTTTTGCCGGAATTGTTTAGTAGCAGAACTGACCGGAATATAAGTAGAATGCAACGGTTTGAATCGTTAATTTGTTGAAACGATTGTTCTCTGAGACCACTGTGTAACTTTTGACCTGAGAATCACCAATTATAACGACAATGGTGGAAGCAGTAGGCACTGTAGAGTGTAGGCAGCACTATATAGTTGGCACGCTTACGCAAGCACACGACTTACGCAGTGGACATCTGCATCATGCATGTTAAGGTTTACTGGGAAGAGTGAGAAATTAGTCAAGGCGATATTTCCAATTGAGCTGGGGATAATTCATTCTCGTTATGCAGCTGTGTAAAAGGGCGTCGCTTTTTTCTTGGGTGAGACCTTCCCCATTGGCCATTTCCAAGCTAAATCGTGGTGGAGAGTCTGGAGACCTCAGCCTCGGTAGTCGGTACCCTGCGCGCTGCGCCACCTTGCGAAACATAAAGCAGCAGTCCTGACATCTACAGGCGTTACTTTTCATGAAAGCGTGGATGTGTTCGCGCTTATGCGAAGAAAATTCTTCCGAGTATGGTTGATAATGAGATTAATTGTTGTCATTTATTTATTAATTCATTGGCAAAAGTACCCTAATAAATCGGTAAAGTAGCTTAAACTGTATCGTATTTCCTTGAGAAAAAATGACGAACTCATCCTAAGACATCCAGATTATTGGATGCGTTCGTCAGTTGTAAGTAGTTCAAGTTTTTGGAAAAAGTTGCTTGTGGAAAATCATAATATTTCAAAGATATGCCTATTTTCGAATAGTTTATGCATTTATCTGCATTGAAAAATGATTGTAAAGCAAAAGTGCAAACGATTGTTGTCAATTTATTCTCTCAAATCACTATTTACGAACGCACAAAACTCCAGCTTTTAATTTAGTGCGTGTGCGAATTGCGGTCAGGAAAAAAGATTTAAACTGTCTATATTCCTCTTAAAACAATGAAGGATGAATGAGAAAAACGCTGTTTTGAACAATTGTATGTTTATTTTTTCTCAATTAAGCAAAAAACCAAAATTTTCAACTATTATTACATTTGCTCTCACAAAACCCATCACTTTTAAGCATGACGTCATGTCAGCCAAACTTACTAGCGCCATCTCTGGAGAGCATCTTTCGAAACCTCCAGACGATAGAGAGAGCCTCAGTTCGGATTCCATAACACTACATTTTGGCGACTAAGCACGAGATAAGTGCGGACTCTAGTGGAATCGCGTGTCGCGAGTATCCGAGTAACCTTTTTTTTTGTGTTTCGGCCCGCGGTACGGCCATGAGCGGCGACAGTGGACCGCCCCTACCCGCGCCGTTTTTGCCCCATCCCGGGACGCCGGCCGTCCCGTGGAGGAACTGGGAACAAAAATTCGAACTTTATCTGTTGGCCAGAGGGCTGTTCACGGACCCTGTGTGCGGTCGGACCGCACACAGCCTCCAAGCTCCGCCCACTGCGTCCCTACGTCAGCCTTGCGTCACCGCACACAGCGACCGCTGTGGCCGGTCGGGACTGGCCACAGCGGACCGTCCACCGCACGCAGCCGTGACGTCAGAGCCGCCTACCCATCCCCTACCCCCACGCCTGCTGGACGTACCGCACACACCGCACGCAGCAGTGTGCGGTGCCCGTGAACACCCCTCAGGTGCGGCACGAGCCCCCTGCCCCCCGAGCAGCGGCGCGCTCTGCTCCTGTGCGCGATCGGTGACGAGGCGTACCGGGTGTTCGACACCCTGCCGCCGGTCGCGAA